GGGCGCCCGGGGCGGGCGGGGGGCGCTCGGGGCGGCGGGCGCTCCGGGCGGCGGGCGCTCGGGGCGGGGGGGCGCTCGGGGCGGGGGGCGCTCGGGGCGGGGGCGCCCGGGGCGGGGGGCGCTCGGGGCGGGGGGCGCTCGGGGCGGGGGGCGCTCGGGGCGGGGGGCGCTCGGGGCGGCGGCGGGCGCTCGGGGCTGGGGGCGCTCGGGGCGGGGGGCGCCCGGGGCGGGCGGGGGGCGCTCGGGGCGGCGGGCGCTCCGGGCGGCGGGCGCTCGGGGCGGGGGGCGGCTCCTGCAGTGACGCCCGGGCCCTTCGCAGGGGGACCTGGGCCCGTTTAACCCCGGCCTTCCCGTGGACGTGCCGCTGTGGCTGGCCGTGAACCTGAAGCAGAGGCAGAAGTGCCGCGTGCTGCCTCCGGCCTGGATGGATGTGGGTGAGTGCGCGCAGGCGCCCTACACCCCGGGACCCCGGCGCCGCGGACCCCGACTCCCGGGGTGGCACTTGTAGGCCAGGCGAAGGCTTTGCACCGAACCACGCCCCCCAGCCCTTTCCGCTCTGGTTATTTTTTTTTTGCCCTTGCCAAACTGGACCTGGATCCTGCTATTTATTCTGGCCTTTTCAGTTAAAATGGGGTCTCTGAGCTTTTCTTTGCTCTGGCTGAGGTCTTCCTGATCTTAGCCTTCCATGTAGGGACCACCGTGCCCAGGAGGCTCTCCGCTAAAATGGGGTGGAGAGCTTTGACTTTGTCGGAGTTAGCCTCGGTTTGTGATCCACCCCTCTCCCCCACTACAGCAACAACAGCAAAAGCTTAACTGCCTGCCTTCCAGAGAGAGTTTCAAGCAGACCTGGAATCATCTAGTCAATGTTAAATTATTCCAGAAGGACTTCTTCTTTAATGAATTTGCTGGTTGATCAAATAAGTAAATATGAAAGGTTAAAAAAAAGTCTCATCTGTAGTGATGATAAAACTTTTAACCTCTCATTTCAGAAAAGTTGGAGCAGCTGAGGGATCATGAACGAAAGGAGGAAACATTTACCCCTGTGCCCAGCCCTTACTACATGGAGCTCACCAAACTCCTGTTGAATCAGTAAGTAATTGTCAAGGCCCAGGATAGTGGGTTCTAGTCCTCTACCCCCACCCTCTCTTCCTTGGCCCTTGTTCTTTACGGTCGTAAGTAGCAGCCCCATCTCTACATCTGCAGGACTGCTGGGCTCCCACATCCCCATTTTCCCTTTGTGTTACCTCTGCCTCCACAATACATCCCTTAGTTCTTCCATCCACTCTGGAATGCACTGGGTCCCCAGCACAAGCCTTTGATGCATGCCCATAAAACGAATGAGTGAAAGCAAAAAGATGTGCACATATGCGTGTTTTGCCAGAGAGGTATTTAGAATTTACCTTGCAAAATGCCAGGCTTTTGAAGCTTCCTGACCATCTTTTGGTTGATAAATTCAAGAGCAGAACCAAAACTGGGACTGTACCTGTGCTTAGAGAAACTGAAACGTTAGGGCCCTGATTGGCATGGCCGAATTTAAAGGGATCTGGATATGTCACATGAACGTGCCTTGTGTTGCTAGAAGCCTTCAGTTCAGTTCTTCCTTCTATCAAACACAATGACCAGCAAGGTGCTTGTTGTGCAAGATCTGGAATTGGGAGCAGAAGGGAAGCGGGTTAAGCTGCAGTACATGCGGAGTGCTGGTCAACAGAGCCACAGGCCTGGTGGTACCAGAGCAGGATCTTGGGGGTCCTGGGGTATGGGAGGAGCTGTGAAAGGTGCCCGTGAGGGAGGGACTTGCAGGTAGAGTTGACTGCAAGACTGGGTAGGTTGGGGATGGGGGTGGGGGCCAAGGGCTGGGTTGGGAGAACCTAGAGGCACAGCCTGTCCAGGGGCCTGTCCATTATTTTAGTGTTTGAAGTTCCAGGTTTTTACTGTGTGTGCACTTTCTACCAAAATCTTTGTTCTATTAATTCAGTTGGGCTACAGGACCCAATTTCAACTTCATTATGAATTTCAGTAGATAAGAACCTGGGGTTTGCTGCTGTTTAATCTGTTCAGAGCACAAGATGTAAATGTTCGGGTTTGTAGTACAATTCACTACATACATTGCATGCCATAGATCTGCTTCCTTGAGCCACTGGTGGCATGCGAATGAATGTGCAGCATAAGCTGGCATGCCGAGTGAGGAGTATTTGCTTCTGCTTTATCTGGTCATTTGCCTTCCTTCAAAGGCTGGTTTAGGAGGGCTGATACTGCCATGCTAAGCTTCTACCCAGCACTGTGTGAACTTTTACACTGTGTCTACTCATGTGTGCTTGCTTGCTTCTGTGTGTAACTGCCATTTGTTTTGGCTGTACCGTGGGACAGTCCCTCCCCTTCAGATATGTCAGGCACAGGGTGGAACGTGGGTTGCTAGGTTCCTGTCTGGGTGGTTGTGAACCTGGGCTTCTATTGAGATATGTTCAGTGCAGCACACTGTGGCAGAAGGCACGGCCTCTGAGCCCAGCCTGCTTGGAAGCTCCACAGCAGAGCACCCTGTACCCTGACAGGATGGCTAATGAGACCGTTCTCTGGGGCGCACAGAAGTCCTGTGGATCAGCTGGAATGTAGCATGGATCCATGGATCCTTGGCACTGGATTTAACCTGTTCAAGACTTAAATCTGAAGACAAAACTTTTTTTTTTTTTTTTGTGGGTCGTGGGGATTGAACTCTGGGTCTGGGTGCTGTCCCTCAGATCTTCAGCTCTCAGCCTCCTGAGTAGCTAGGATTACAAGCGTGAGCCTCCAGCCCCTGGCTGACAAAACAGTTTTTGCATCTGGAATAGTTCAAATGTTTCATCTGAATTCAGTCAGCATTTTTGAAGATATGTTTCTGCCCAGTGTTGCTTTCATTTAGTTGGTGTCTTCACCCCTCCTTTAGTGCTTCAGACAACATCCCCAAAGCAGATGCCATCCGGACCCTCATCAAGGATCTGTGGGACACACGCATGGCCAAGCTCCGGGTTTCTGCTGACAGCTTTGTGCAGCAGCAGGAGGCGCATGCCAAGGTAGGCATTGCTGGCCCTTCTGCTGCTGCTGCTCACCTGCTGCTGCCCAGCTCTGCCTGCCAGTTCTGATGCTGCCAGAGTGTCACACAGCAGCCTGCTTGCTCAGGCTGTTACAAACAGGAATTGCTAGCTGTGCTTTTAAGACCATTCACTGGGCTGGGTACCAGTGGCTGATACCTAAAATCCTAGCTATTGAGGAGGCTGAGATCTGAGGATAGGGTTCAGAGACACAGGATCTGCCTTGTTCTGACTGCCCCCCTCTGGCCCAGCTGTGCATTCTGTCTGCTCTGTCTGCAGACAAATCTGAGAGTCATCTTCAGCTAGCCAACAAAAAGCTGGACTGTAGGTATGGCTCAAATGGTTCAATGCCAGCATGAGCAAAGAAAGCTGAGCAAGAGCACAGGGCCCTAAATCTAAGCCCTAGCGCAAAAACAAAACCACCATCAAAAAAACAAACAAAAAACCCTACTCACTGGGGCTTGCCTGTAGAGGCCCTGGGGGGTTCCATCCCCAGCAGCTTCCCCCACCAAGAGTTTATTCAGTAGAATGTAACTTTGTCTCCACAGCAAAATCTCCTTGGCTTAGTTGGTCTGCCTTTTCCTTTAGCTGGATAACCTGACCTTGATGGAGATCAACACCAGCGGGGCCTTCCTCACACAAGCGCTCAACCACATGTACAAGCTACGCACAAACCTGCTGCAGCCTGCGGAGAGTGCCCAGTCTCAGGACTTCTAGAAGCCTGGCACTTACTGCAGATTTCCTGGGTGACGTATGAGTGCACAGGACTTGGGAGAGGTACTTGTGATTCTGGAGTCCTGGAGACTTCTTCCTGTGATGCCAGGGGGCCAGCGGAGGCATCTCTGAGTGTGTGAAGAACACAGAATGGTGCAAGGAATGGATGTTTAATATCAGCTTGTGGTTATTCCTCAAACAGCTCCTGAGTGCTCAGTTCCCCATGTAATTCTAGAAGCCAGCTGTTCTTTGGGGGTTCAGGGTTCAGTTCTGGATGTCGTGCTATACTGAGTTAGGGAACAGGTGAAGCAGCAGCGGTGAGCCCCAGGGCCCTGTGCAACCTTCTCGGTCCTCATTTTGTGGGCTAAGTTTACTGTGCAGGTGCTCACAGGGGATGGCTGGTAGAGCAGACAGTGATGTTGGCCCGATTCGTGCTTACCTAATAAAAATGCCATCAGCTCAAACCTGGTTTATCTGATTTTGTTGAGTTTTCTTCCCTGCCTAACTCCCAAGTGAAAGGAGTGAGCCTTGTAGTCCGGGTGACCCCAAAACTGCATTGACGGGGGAGTCCTCTGTGCTAGAAGATGTCTGGTTCGTTTATTAAGAAATTCTCTAGTGCCAAGTGAGGCAGAAGACTGCTGGGAAGGGTGGGACTGGTACGCTATTCTTGATATATTCAGGGAAAATGCTTTTTTTCTAAGAGAAAGTTCCTTGCAATTCACTGTAGCATTTTTTAATTGTTTGGTCCCTTAGCCTCAGAGGGGAAGCGCTTAGCCCAGTGCCATCCAGCAAACTGACCATTCCATTTTAGAACCGGCCTGCTTTTAACTGTGTCCAAGGCTGCAGGGAGTCCTGGGAACACGCACAACCTCATCACTCAGACGAGGCTGGCCTCTACCCTTGGCTCACAGGACTCAAGCACTGTTACCCCAGCCCAGGCGTCTCGGCCGTAGGTGCTGATTATTTAAACACCCACGGGCCAGGCTGCATGGCAGCCTTTGTTACAGTGCTGTCCAGAGCTGGTTTCAGGGGCTGGGACTTGCCTTTCCATCTCCGCCTTAATCTGAACCCCCTTCCTCTTAGGGTGAACTACTGATTACCATGGAGGCCAGGGCGCCTGCCTGTGTCTCTCAGATCTCATCTCTAGTACCTGGGCCAACTGAGTGCCAGATCAGTGTCTTCATGTTTGAGCTCTTTATGATATAAAAAAAGCTCTTCCTCTTAACATGATTTAGGACGATTTTATTTTTTGGATGTTGTCAGAAATTACAGCAATATATTCATAAATACCTAATTACTACATTCAACAAATAATATTACAATACAGTTAAACAAGTACACTTAGAACAGGTTTCATTTCACAGCATCTAAACTGCCCCCAGTGACCGAGGCACTGCTGTACTCCTTCTGCCCATCCTAGAGCTGAACATGGGGCGCACGAGCAACATCACCGGTGGGCCGGCTTCCTCAGGTCAAGGCAGAGACTAGGAGTTTCATTAAGCACTGGGTCAAAGGTAGGGGACAGGCTACGGCAAGGAGTGAAGTCGAAGCTTGGTTATTGAAGTATAGATTGCTGCCGAGCAGCTACAGCGTGCGCTTGACAGAGAAGCTGTCTGTGCTAGCCAGCTCCCTCTGGTGCTGGGTACCTGCGTTTCTATGCTGTCTGTGGCTCAGAGGGAAAGGGGCTGTCAGCTTTTAAACTCAGCAATTGGGTTTTTTTTTTTTGTTTTGTTTTGGAGATTTGGCAGTATTGTGAGCACTTGAGGAAAATACCATTCTGCTACAAACAAGATCTCCCATGCTTTTAGCTTTTTTCTGATGAAGGTATCCTTTAAATAATCTGAATTTTCTTGGGGTTGCAATCCATTAGTTTAGTGCCTAAGTGTTTTCTTTACAATTAGAATATAGACTGAAATGTTGCAAATCCTATTTTGGTCACCTGTCTGAGACAATGGCAGGAAGCATAGAATTTTGCCAGGTTTAAAACAAAAGTGAACAAGAGCAGCTGGTTTTAAAGATGATGGAGCTTTTGTCTGTCGCAAGTTTAGTGACTTCCCTGTCAGAGGACAGATGGGGTTCTCTTCCAGGTGATGCGGAAGACACAGCTGAGAAGGACCAAGGTAGTCACAGAAATACTGACACACGTGCACCATTGGTTCTAGAGAAAATCTGACATACTACTAAACTTTTGTCTTTGAAGTGCAACCGGAGGAAGCTGGGCAGAGCCTCAGAGGTTGTGACTGCATTTTGTCCTTTGCTGTGAACAGACTTAGACGTGCTGTGTTCTTCCAGAATCATCTGAAAGATGTGACTGCTTATAGAAAGAATTCATTCTTGGGCAGGAAAGCCATTGCTAGGCAGCGTCTGGTGCTTGCACTACCAAGCACCTTTCTTAACCTCGGTTTCTGCATGCTGCCTTACTTGTCTGTACTTGCACTGATTGTCTTATTACTTCTTGAGCACAAGAGCACTTGGATGTGAACCGGCTGGGGCGCGGTGAGGAGTGTGATGGGAGTATGGGGCAGTTTTCAGTGAAGGGGTCGTGGTACTTACTGCCCCCAACTCAGCCTTCCCCCCAATAAGACCAACAAGGACACTTCTCAGACGCAGAGAAGGCCGGGCCTTTCCTTCCACTAGGTGATTAGATTTACTTTTTCCCTTTGCTTTAGCCAAAACCACCAGGTGTCTGACGTGTGGAGTGCTCAGGTGTGGACTCTTAAGCCTTTATTTACTCTGTAAGTAGCAAGCAGGTAAGAAGAGAAGTGGAGTGACATTTTGCCCCGACTGCGGCTCTTGGACTCTGCAGGGGAAGAGGCCAGGTCATAGCCTTTTGCTTTTTCCAGGCCTCCTGGTGGAAGGAGGCGCTTGCTGACTGCTGGCAATACTGGCAGCGCTTTTCTGTCTGAGTTTGCTAATAACTGCAAGGCTCTTGGCAGACGTACAAAGCGAACTGTGTGGGGGCAGATAAGCAACACCATGCCAGCTGTCAGCAAGCTGCTCAGCACAGCAAGGGCTAGGACTCAGGGCACTGCCCCCGGGAGCAGCAGCCAGTAAGTGCAGCTGCTGGTGGCCGGCAAAGGTTGGCGTGACCGCTCCCCACCCCCAGGCCAGCAAGTGGCGAGGGCCTGTTCCAGTAGGAAGTGCTGTTCTGATCTGGATCCAACACTGCCTGAAGGGGCAGTACAAGGCAGCGTATTGCAGCCAGTGGTGGGAACAGCCTGCTTTCTATACCATCACTGCCAGTTCACCCCAGCCACTGCTGGCCTACTTGAGGCCGCCTTACAAAGCCTGGCACTCAGTAGCTACTTGGGTTCCTACTCTGTACGCGCTCTTGGCAATGTTAGGGTTCTGCAGCAATCACGGCTGAATGGTTCTTGGAGCCGGGCATGTGCGCCGCTGTCAACTTGTTGCTCGGGATCTGCGTGTTCCCACCGCCTGCCCCTCGTGACCCAGCTGCGCGCTATCTGCTGTTACCTGGTCTGGGATAGGGACAGGAGGAGGTAAGGAGTAATGCATGGCTTTTCTGCATCAGGTTCTGGTGCAGCTCAAAGTAAAAATGAAGTGACAGCATAGGCGCCAGTGGTAAGCTCTTTTTGTGTTGCTTCTCCTTTTAATTTTTAAAAACACTTCAATATTTTAACGTCCTGACCAGCAGCAGTACAAACACTAAAAGCAAGGGTTTTCCCCCCCAAAAAACAAAAACAAACCCCCAAAGAGGAAAAACAAAAATTCCCCCAAACCACATATTAAAAATGGCAGGCTTTTTATAATAATTAAAGTAATAAAAACATACAAAACTTTTTTTTTAATATATATACACAGTACAAGGCTGAAGCACCTTTGACTTTTCTCTCAAAATTTATGTTTGTATGAAACCATCACCCACCCCAGTAACAACTCAGCGGGTGTGAATGTCTACATAGAGCTCTGTGCATCCTCCCCCACGCGTGACAAAAGGTACCTTTAGTTTGTGGGTTTATCTCAGGTGAGAGCGTTTCCAGAGACTGCTCTGTTGCCCCTAGGACCTGTGGCTTTGAAGACAAATAGCTTTTGTTTGTAGGAAAGTGAAGCAAGGCCTTCACTGACAGTGCACCCGGCCTGCTTTGCAGCCAGGGGGAGCCTCGCTTCCGGGCAGAACGAGGTCCCCGTGGCTGTGGGCCTGCGCGCTGGAGCTGCAGCACAAGGAACAGCCAGCGGGGCGGGAGCCCCTTCCATGCACTGGGGGTGATGCACGACATGGTTTTAGTGTTGGGAATGGAGCCTTCATTTTCAGATTAGAACAACAACAACAACAACAGAAAGACCTATGTGGGGGAAGAAGGAATAAAACCACCGTGAGAAAGGAAAACTCTAGGCCTTCTACACTGGCTGCTCGCTGGTGACAAAGACCATCTGGCCGCACTGAAGTCGAGGGGAACTCATTCCTTTGTTTTCCTGGAGCCTGGAATCCTTTGCTTCATGCATGGCACATTCTTGTTTTTTAAGCTTCAAACCTCCCAGTGAAAAATATTAAATATTCAAGGTAATAAAATAGATCATATTTCTATACTATAGGTTCCGCCTGTGCAAGGGAACTGTCACCTGGGGTGACCCTTAACGTAGCCCCGCGGCCAGTGCAGTGCAGGCAAGGCAAGGCACTTGCGTAAGTGGTCCAGTTCTGCCTGGAGGCGCTCCCTTTCGGACACTATCTTCTGCTTCTGACTCCTCAGCTCCTGGGGAAGAGAGGGAGATTCATGTCATTCCCAGCTGTGGCAAGCTGGGAAGGGGTACTGTCACACCACGGCTCCGCCCTGATGGGCCCCAAAGGGGGATGACACAGCACCGCCACCTTCCAGGATCAGAATTGGGCAAGTTCAAGGTAATTCCCCTCAGCCAACCCTTTGAATAATGAACAGATGCCTGAGTTTCCCCAAAATTACAGAATTTTAGTCTTTTTTAAAATTTTCATTTTTGGTTGGTCGTGGGGCCTGAACTCTGGGCCTGGGCGCTGTCCTTCAGCTCTTCAGCTCAAGGCGAGCGCTCTACCACTTGAGCCACAGCACCACTTCTGGTTTTCTGGTGGTTTATTGGAGATAAGAGTTTCACAGACTTTCCTGCCCAGGCTGGCTTTGAACCACAATCCTCAGATCTCAGCCTCCTGAGTAGTTAGGATGACAGGCGTGAGCCACCAGCACCCAGCAGAATTTTGGTCTTTGAGGAATAGATTAACCCCCATGTGTCCTGAGCTCCAACCCGACTCACCGCCATGCTGTGGGAGAGCTGCTCTGCGGTCAGGCTGAGGCTGTAGTGCTGGGCCTCCAGCCGCCGGCACTGGGTCTGTAACACCTGCCGCTCTAGGTTTTGTTCTGAAAAGACAAGAGGTGGCTATATCATCATGGTCTGGGCCACACATCTTCACCCCAGTGCCCCCCTCTCCAGCGTAGCCTGCCAAGGGCTCTCCTGTGGACCACACCCCCTGCCCTTTGGGTTATGACAACAGTGTGTGCATGTGTGCGCATGTGCATCCCTGCTTGCTGGTCCTGGGGCTTGAACTCAGGGCCTGGGTGCAGTCCCAGAGCTTTTTTGCTCACAGCTATCTCTCTTATTATTTGAGCCACACCTCCACTTTTAGATGTTTTCAGTTAGTTGAAGATTTGTGGCTCAGGGGCTTCTCTTATCTGGGCTGGCTGTGAGTCTGGGATCCCGGTCTCCTGAGTAACCAGGATTCCTAGTGAGCCACAGGCACATGGCTTGTAAATGAACCCAACCCAGGGGGATGAGCAAGGATCCAGAGTCAAAGGCAGTTTAATTAGGAAGGCGTTGGAGGGATCACTGTTGTCCCTTAAACAAGCTATTAACCAAATAAAGTCTGATTTAGCAAGATACCAGACCAAGTTTTGATAGGAGAGGGACTTCAGGCCTTTAAGGACAATTTTATCTTTAAAAATAGGATGCTGCCTGATTTTTTTTTTTTTTTTTTTGGTTGGTTGTGGGGCCTGAACTTTGGGCCTGGGCACTGTCCCTCAGTTCTTCAGCTCATGGCTAGTGCTCTACCATTTGAGCCACAGAGCCACTTCCGGTTTTTTCTGCTTATGTGGTACTGAGGAATTGAACCCAGGGCCTCATGCATGCAAGGCAAGCACACTACCACTGAGCCACCTTCCCAGCCCAATGCTGCCTGATTTTAGAGGCAGAAACAATGGTGATAGCAAAGCAAATTCAAACAGCAAGAAAAAGCCAACCAAACAAACACCACAAAAACCCACCAGGAATAAAACAAGAAAAAAACAAAAAAACCCAAAACTGGCTTCTGGGAAGCTTCACTGTTAATGAATGCTGCTAAGTTTCAAAGAATCCCACCAGTGCCTCTTAATTCTACCTTAGAGATTCCAGGCGAAATCCTAGCAGGAAAAAGCTAAGAGCCAAGAGCAGCTGAGCAGCAGCCCAGAATGAGTCAGGCAAGCTACGAGTACCCTAGCGACTGGGGTACAGGATTTCCAAACAAGGCGTTGCAAACCCCAAGATTGATGCCTTTTGCTCCATTAAAATTTAAAATGAGCCAAGCATTGGCGGCTCACACTTGCTATCCTAGCTACTCAAGTGGCTGAAGTCTATGAGACTCTTACCTCCAATTAGCCACCAAAAAGCCAGAAATGGAGCTATAACAAAGCCCAGGGACATAGCCTTGGAACTGAGTTTCAAGTCCCAGCATGTGCGCACACCCACCCCTATTTGAGAGTGTAAGATACTGCTTCTGAAGACATATAGATGATTAAAGAATGACAGGTAAGGGAGTTGCAGACAACACATCCAAACGTGAGGGAAGGAAGCAAACAGAATGTGTGACTGGTGTCCTGGCTACGCTGATGGAAGGTCCGTTCATGAATGCTGCCCGGCTGGCCTTGAGCCTTGCTCATCCTCAGCTCTACCTCCCAGATGGCTGGGGTCACGGGGGGACCCAGTTTGTATAGTATGGTAGCACATGACTGCATTTTTAATGTGGTCACATGATGCAGGAGGTGGCACTGGTCTGAGACCTGCTAGCCACCGCTGTCTAACTTTGTCCACGTGCGCAGCCAGCACACCCCGCTGGAGTGCAGGAGGAGGGGCTGGTGCCCGCGCCCCCCCCCACCCCGGCACTCTCGTGGGCATCCTTGGGGAATGCCAGGGCCAGGTTGGGACCTGGCATAGGACCCACGTCCTGTGGCTTCTCCAGGAGAGCCCCAGCTGTGCTCCCGGGAGGACGGTAACATCCTGCCTGGGACCAGGAATGGTGAAGGGCTAAAGAAAAGCTTTGGCACAGGCTAGCCTCCGCAGAGTCCCCAGAGGTGAGGTTTGGAGTGGAGTTAGCCCAGTTTGTGTAAAGTGTGTATGGTGGGGGGTGGGGTTCTATCCCCAAGGATGACAGTACCAAGTATGGTGACAGAGTGGGCCATTGCACCATCAGAAGTACCCAGCACAGCAAGGCCCCTTTGGGGCTGTCCCCATGGAGGCTGGTGCCCAGGCTGGCATTCTAGTAAATTCCCCGGCAGGGGGAGGAGGAGGAGAGGGTATTTGGCATGGGTGAAATGGCCTTGGGGATGGTGGAATTAGCCTTCCCCGGCCTGGGCCCGGGCTCCTGGGCCTAGCTGAGCCCAAGTCCCGCCAGAGCTTCCATCCCAGCCTGCCCAGTACCTTCTATGTGTTCTTGGTAGGCTTCAAAAATTGCCTCAATCCCTTGCCACTTGCGCCTGGGGGCTTCCTGGTCCTCCTCGTCCTCACTGTCCTCACTGCCGTACTCCTCCTCCTCCGACTCCTGGTCTGGCTCCTGCACGAGGGAGCCGTGCCCGCCCGCCGTGGGCTCCTGCTGCCCGTTAGGCTGGGGCGGGGGGAGGCGGCTGGAGGACTGCAGCTCGGGAATGTTGTAGTGGACAGACGCGTCGACCTTGTGGTTCTGCTCTGCAGACAGCACAGCCGAGCTCCCTGGAAGAGAACAGGCGTCAGCACAGGGGTGTCTCTGTGAGCAGGGCTGGCGGGACTGCAGGTCTCCAAGCGGGCAGCAAGACTCCACAAGTGTGCAGGAAAAGGGTCTGCCCCAAATTCCCGCATGAGCACAGCACAGTCAGGGACAGTGCGAGGCGGCCACGGAGGGCGGCCGGCCTGCGGTCCTGTCTGGTGACGCGTGTGATCTCAGCCCCGCTCATCTGAGCTTGCATTTCTTCACGGAGTGCGCCCAGAGACAAGGGCATAAGAATGCTTGTCCCTGTGCCAGCATTGAGCATGGCTGTGACCTCTGCAATGGTGCATACCATCTGGTGGCACAGGGCTGCTCGCAGCCCCCTCACGGGAAGGGCGTGGCGGCATGCACATACCCACGTGGGCCTGCGCTCCCTTGGCAGACTGTGCTGCCTGCCGTGGAAGGGTGCCTCCCAGGGCTGCACAGGAAGGCCATGTGAGGCGCCAGCCCACGAGGGCCACGGTGGCTGAGGACACATCTGCGCTCGCTGTGGCCTTTTGGGGCCCTTTCTTTTTGTTGGTCATGGGTCTTGAACTCAGGTCCTAAATGCTGTTCCTGAACTTTTTGTTGTTGTTGTTGGTCATGGGGCTTGAACTCTGGGCCTGGGCGCTGTCCCTCAGCTCTTCAGCTCTACCACTTGAGCCACAGCGCTACTTCCGGCCCTTTCTGCTTATGTGTTGCTGAGGAATTGAACCGAACCCAGGGCCTCGTGCATGCATGGTAAGCACTCTACCGCTGAGCCACCTTCCCAGCCCTGTTCCTGAACTTTTTTGCTCAAGGCTAGTGTTCTACCATTTTGAGCCATAGCTCTGCTTCCTGTTTTCTGGCTGTCTCCCAGACTTTCCTGCCCAGGATAGCTTTGAACTGCAATCCTCAGATGTCAGCCTCCTGAATAGCTAGGATTACAGGCGTGAGCCACCGGTGCCTGGCCCAGACATATTCTTATGAAAACTCTAGTAACATTCCTGGTTTTTAATGGAGTCTTTTTGTTGTTTTCCCAATGCTAAGAATCAAACCCTAGGCCTCAGTCAAAAATGAAAAAATAAAAAAAGCAAAAGCAATGATGAGGACAGGTGCCGGCACTGGGGCTTAGTCTTGAGGCCTCTTGCTCTTGCTTAGTTCTTTGCCCAGGGCCAGTGCTCCCCCACTTGAGCCACAGCTCCACTGCTGGTTCTTTGCCAATGAACTGGATGTCATTCTCATGGACTTTTTTCCCTAGGCTGGCTTCAAGCCACAATCCTCAGATCTCAGCCTCCCAAATAAGATTACTGGTGTGAGCCACTGACACTTAGCTCCTGAGCAGTTCTGACTTGGAATTTACTGGGAATGAAGCTAGCCATCGGTCCCCATCTGACCCCAGCGACTGTGCTTGGGGGGGTCCCACAGACAGGTGAGGCAGCAAAGCCTTTCTGAACTCAAGATGCCGCCACCTGCTGACGTGCTGGAAATGCAGCGTCCACACAAGCTCACCTGGAGCCTGCTAAAAATGGAGTAGTGCCTAGCAAGTGCAAGGCTCTGAGTTCAAACTCTAGCGCTTCTGGAAGTGAATGAATGATTGCCACGGGCCCCAGCCCCGTACCCAACAAGAAGCCAGGTCCTGGTGTACACAGAGGGGCCAGGGAGGCCCACGGCTGCGCCCCAAGTGACCCGCGGCGGTCAGCGTGGGACAGGGGCTCTGTACCTTTGTGCTTCTGCAGGGCCTTCTGCGTGGACTGCAGCACCGACTCGTGGAACTGGTGTGCGAACTCCTCAGCCAGGAAGGGCTCCCAAGGCTTGCTCTTCCCGTTGACGCTGTGGGACAACGGCACAGGGATGGCCTTGGGCGCGGTGCCCCGGATGTAATGGAGCATGCTCAGGCTCTTCTTGCCCCGGGGAGCTTCGCTCAGCCTGGCCTTCTCACCGCCGGGGGGCGCTGGCTCCTGGGGCCTCCCTGTCTCCACGGCCTTTGGGACTTCAGACAAGGAGGTAGCGACGCTGACAGGCTTGTCTGGCTCCGGAGAGGCAGGCTGCGTGGCTGGTTCTTGAGAGAAAGTGAGAGAAAGCAGAGGTCAGCAGGGGGTGTCCAGGTGTGGCCCTGGGCTCTGGAAGCTTACACTGAACAGACTTAGAGCAAAGAACCCAGACTCGCCCCATCTCAAGTCTGTCCTTGACTGCACCCCGAGGCCACGCGAGAAGACAGATGGCGGAAGGAAGCAGAGTCACGGCGGAGGGGTGAGGAGCCGAGTGGCCAGGCGGCCGGAGGCCTCCCCGTGTCCTTGGCAGGCAGAGGCGGCATCGGACGGAAGACAGAAAGGTGTGAGAGCAGGTGCCAGGTGAGGAGGAGCCCGCGGCAGGCGGCAGAGGGGGAGGTGGACGGACAGATGGACGCGGCCCCACCACTGGCCTCCTGCCTTCTAGCGCCTCACGTCCCAGCCGTGCAGCCGCAGCCGCAGCCGCGCAGGAGGGCGGGCAAGCGCGCCATCTCCACAGACCCAGTTCACAGCGGCGACCGTGGGCGGCACTGGTGACCCTGAAGCCCGTGTGCCGGTGTCGGGTGGGGTGTCCTTCCCTTACCACTCGGGGAGATGGCAGCGCTGTCCCTGGGAGAGCTTGTCACCGAGTCTGCCACCGCTGCCGACAGTGCTCTCTGCTTCATGGCACGGAGCATTTCAACAAGTCTCTCTTTGTCTGTGAGAAAAGCAGCCTGGAGTTAAGGCGCGGCGCGGCTGCGGCCTCGCGCCGTGGGAAGGAAGCGGCCGATCCTCAGCTTCTCTGCAGGGCTGCGGTGCGTGGCCGGTGCGTGGCCGGTGCTGGCACTGGGAGCGGCGTGCCTGCCCTCTTCGGTGGTGGCTTCTCAGGTGGGGGTGTGTTTAAGGCGAAGGCAGTGGCCCTGGCCCCAGCACGGGGGCAGCGTGCCCACCCTCCACGACTCCCCAGAACCCCGGCCATGTCCTGAAAAGGAATGTAGGCCCGGCCCGCCACCTCCACTGCCTCCACGGTGTTCCCGCCCAGCGGAGGGCTTCCTTCACATGCGCCAGGTGAAGCGATGGCTGTGCCCACGGCTGGGCCCGCTCCCAGGGTCCGCCACTGCCCCGCGGAGGGTTTGGCACAGACAAAGCAAGCTGCATTCCCAGCTCGCACACGGCCAACAGCCGGGCTTCTTCCAGCGGGGACCTGGATGCCGTGCCCAGGAGGTGGAAGCCGGGAGCCGCGGCCACTCTCTTCAGCCCTGGACCAGAGTCCAGAGGCTCTCCACCCAACCAAGCAGCCAGACCCATCCGGCGCACCCCCACGCACCCCCGCGCACCCCGGCTCCGCTGGCAGAGCGCCAAGCCCAGGGGCCGAGCCGACCTGCTAGAGGTCCAGCAAGGCAAGAGGCGCTGCGCCGCCCGGCCCAGTCCCCAGAGGGAAGCAAGTGGTGCGGCCGGCGGCTAGACGGGCTGCCTGTGCGGGAGCAGAGTCCTCGTGTCCACCGCAGGCGAGCACCGCAGACCAGCCCGCTCCCCGCTCCCCAGCCCAGCACACAGGCCTCAGCCTTACCTTTCCGCTTCTCAGCGCTGATGTGGGTCAGGTTGAAGATGGTCAGGAACCTCCTCTTCTCCTCAAAGTTGGGGCTGCTGTTCATCTCATCGGGGCTGTAACGGGTGGACAGGGCCAGTCTGGGGGACGGCGTCCGCCGCTTCCTCTGGGCGCCCGGCGGGGACGGGCTCCTCTCGCGCAGCAGCCGCCGCCGCTTCCTCCGCTTCTGCGCCACCAGCTCCTCCTTCTGCTGTTGGGTGGTCAAGCCAAAAAGTTGCAAAAACTCTAGCTTCTGGATTGGGAAAGAAAACAAATCAGCTTGACACGCTGGCAGCGGCCTGTCTGCGCGGTCCCTGCGCCCCGCCTGGGGTCCCCCGGGGGTGCGCGGGGCAGGCGGTCGGGTACCTCGGAGGACGTGTCCAGCTTCAGGGGCGGCTGTGCAGCAACCCCGCGGAGGTGCGCCCTGACCTCGTCCTCGTCGCTCTCGTCGTACGAGTCGTCCAGGTCATAGTAGTATCCTAGGGGCAGGAACGGCACGCGCACAAGGGGACAGTAAGGCCCGGTCTGCGAACCCCGAGCTTACCCCCTGCAGACCGCTGTTCGTGCCAAGGTCCCAGTGTCAGCGGCTGGCGTACTATGTGTGCACCCCCAGGAGATGAGCACAGAGCAGGAGAGCCCTCCCTGCCGGGCCCCTGAGCCCCCCTACAGTGTAATGGAAGTGGAGGAGCCCTAAGTCAATCTGGACTCCACCAGCAGCCTGGGAAGACCATCTACACCGTAGCTTTAGGGAAGAGCGGAGCTCCAAGCCCGGCTCAGCAGTGCACACCTGCAATCCCAGCACTCCAGAGGCAGAGCCAAGTCCCACACGAGCTGGGTCTGAGTTTCCAGGAGAAAGGAAACTCAAGCTGAAGACGCAGCCCGAGCCCTGTCCCAGCTCAGCTGCTGGGCCAGCTCTCTGGCGCCCGCCCCCTCCGCCCGGCAGCCGTGATCTGCCTTCAGGGCACTGCACCCCAGGGCATCCAAGAGGCCTACTTCTGTCCCTGCAGAACCACCAGCCGTCTGTGAGCTTGCTACCTGGAGCTGCGGAGAGGCTGCAGCACAGGCAGCTGCATGGGGGGGGGTCACCCCCCCAACACACACGCACACACACATGTGCACACATGCACATGCACGCGCACACACGCACATGCATGCGCCCACACACGCACATGCACACACGCACATGCACACACGCACATGCACGCGCACACACGCACATGCACACACGCACATGCACACACGCACACACACACACCTTTCTCCTGGGCCTCCCGCCGCCTGCGCTCCTCCAGGTCCAGCTTGCTGACCAGCCTCCGGCGCTGCTGCAGAAGCTCATCGTAGATGTAGGAGGGGTCGGGACCCCTGGGGGTGGGAGGGCAATAGGGGGACCCAGGCTTTAAGGGCCCGCTGAGCTCCCCGAAGGGGGCCACCTGGGGGAGGGAGGGCCGCTGCTGGCCCAGGATGGTCTGTGCAGACTTCTCGAGTTCCGCAAGGAAGGGCCCAGGCCCGTGCGGGAAGGCGGGAGGCTCCAGGCTGGCCGCTTCCCGGGCCGGCGGCTCGCGCTTGCGTGGCTCCTCGGGCTTCTCGGGGCAGTACACCCGCTCCACCTTCACCAGGGGCACCGGCGCAGCCTGGAGACTGGGCTCAAACGTAGCCGGGTGGCTGTGCAGGCTGTGGCTCTCGGCCCGCCGTGTCTCCAGGGCACTGTCCATCAGGGACACGGGGTTCCAGAGGGCGGTGGACACGGTGTGGAGCTGGGGCTTCGGGGAGATGAGAGGTGGAGGTCCTCCAAAGTGCTGCGGGGGGTCGCGGCTGGCCGGCTCGTGGCGGTTTGGTCCCGGCCTAGACAGAATTCAGACGGACTCGTCAGTGGGAGGAGCAGACCCGCCGGCCGGCCAGGGCTCCCTGGCTGCATTGCGTCTTCCCCTCCGGCCGGAGGACTGGACTGGATGTGGCAGGCAACGGGCAGGTGAGAGGCAGCCAGCCCACCCCCGCGGCCGGCTCCACCCCGGGGCCTTGGGGCCCTTCCTTCACACGCTCTGCCTCCCTGTGAAAAATGTTTCCACCACACGAGCCAAATCACAAAAGACTACTGTGCTTTCGTGAAGCTTATCTTTCTGTTTTACTGTGGGATCTTGCTGCCCACAGGTCTAGGGCAAGGTCTGCAAAAACGGCCGGGGCAGGGGGGAGGGCGGGCTGGGCCGCGAGGCCTCCCCAGCTCAGCCGGCTCCGCTCGCTCTGCCGGGCAGTGCTCACCCGCGTACCGGGGCCACCTTGGCGGACTCCGGCTTGCAAGCCTGGAGCAGCGGAGCGCAGCCAAGGGAGACAAGACATAGCGTCCACAGGCAGAATGAAAACGCCACACACCAGAGCCAAGCAATAAACAGGTCTCGAGCGGAGAGCGCAGGGACCCCGCCAGAGCCAAGGTCTTGCTATGAGGCAGCCCACTGCAGCCGCGTGCCGCCCTCTAGTCCCGAGGCCACTCAGAAGGCCGGTCTCCGCGAGCCCCGAGGGACTGCCTGAGGCTCATTCCCGCCCACCACAGCCGAGCTCCGCAGACCCTCACTCGGCTATGCACACAGGGAAGGGGGAAGAGGAACAGCAGAGGTCACCCTGTGCCCAGACACTGAGACCCCAGCGCCTCTGGCCCTGGCCTCACAGCCGGTGAAATGTGTGAGTGTGGGGGGGGAGGTAGGAGGCAGGGGCTGGCCCCCTGCTTCCCTGCAGAGCGGAAGCCATTTCCTGGGACCTGGCAGGCCGGGCATCGCGGCAAACAGACCTCCCCTTCCCCCCCAGGACTAGAAACTCACACCGCCTGTCAAACTTTGCTTTTCCTCCAATAGAAGTTAAAGGCAGCCAGCGGCCCCTCAACGCCCCCACTCCCGCAGAGGGAAGCGGGTGGGCGGGGGCAGACCCAAGGCCTGGCCGCATCTGTCTCGGCTTGGCCAGCCAGGGGCCCGCCCTGTGCGTGAGGAGTGCTGGGCTGCGTGGGCTCCCCCCTCCACGCCGGCCAGGGTGAGACCGCGGCCACTCCCCCGGGACGCTCAGTGAACGGAGCTGTGTGCACAGAGCGGTGGCCCCACCTGGCGCCGTCCGGCCTGGGCTCCGCTTCGGCGGCCACGGGGGGTCGGCCCAGGTCCAGGTGCTGCTCCAGCACCTGCTGCCGGAACTCAGACACCTGCGACTGCCGGTCCTCCTTCTCCTGGCGCAGGCGCCGCTGCCGCGCCAGCCACTTCTCCTCCTCGTTGGTGCGCTGGATGAGCAGGGCCGTGGCTGCGCTGCTGCCCGGCAGGGAGAAGAGGCCGTGGTTGGAGATGAGGCTGGGCACGGTGTGGTGAGGGGCGGGCACCGGGTGCAAGGGGTGCTGCACGGGCTTCGGGGCCTGCAGGCCCCCGTCCTTCAGCTTCTCTGTGGGGATAAACGCCGTCACAGACAGCAGGCCCCACGCCCACCGGCCTAAGGGAGCCCCGGGACGCGTGCTTCCCATGCCCCTGCGGCTTCCAGCGGTCCAGCGGCCGGCGCGCAGCTCCTAGCCGGGCACTCCCCCTCCGGCCCCGCCCAGGTACCTGCTCGGGTGGGGGTCAGCTGCTCCGAGGGCTTGATGCGCTCCTCGGGGGCGTGGGGGCCGCGGAGGCCGTGCAGGTCAGCCACCGGCAGGAAGGCGGCGGGCTCCAGCGTCTTGGCGGCCAGCAGCTCCTTCTCGCGGGCCCGCTGCTCGCGCTGCCGCTCCAGCTCCCGCTCCTTCTCGCGCTCCAGCTCGCGCTCCCGCTCCTTCTCCCGCTCGCGCTCGCGCTCCTTCTCCCGCTCGCGCTCCCGGTCAGCCTCCCGCTCCCGCTCTCTCTCCCTCCGCAGCTCCTCATCCATCTGCAGCCTGCGAAGCAAGCAGAGGCTCAGGCGCGGCCGCACCGTGCGGACCCCTCCGCCCAGGCTCGCCGCCCGCCCCGCCTCATGGAGTAGGCCAAGATGCTGAGGATGGGGCGGAGGAGCCGCCGTGCTACACGGGCCGCGTGTGCACACGGGCCGGGCACGGGCCGGGCACGGGCCGGGCTTACCTCTCGGCACTGAGTCCGGACATGCGCTCCGAGTGCAGTGCGGCCAGGGAGGAGTGGGCGAGCTCGGGGGGGTAGCGGACCCCCGAGAGGTGCAGGTGCATGGCCGACGGGTGCAGCGGCGGCAGGGAGCCGGGGGTGGGGATGGGGTAGAACGGGGACCTCAGGGCTGACAGGCAGTAGGAGTCGTCCATCCTGTTGGAGGAAGGCTGGTCAGATGACAAGCTCACACCCACGAAACGCCGCCTCCGAAGGCCGAGATCCCGCTGCGTCCGCAGCGCGTGTCGGCCAGGCAGGACGCCATCCACGGCCGGAGGCCGGCAGCGTGGCCAGCACGGGCAGCCCCGCCGCCTCCAGAGGGCGCCTGTGGGTCCGGCTCATCAGGCCCGTGAGGACGCCGCGTGACCCCTGCTGGCCTGTCACCCCTCTTCACGCCTCGCCGCTCACCAGCAGTGACCCCGAGGGCTCCCCTCAGAACCACAACTGGAATTGTAGGGGGAAGGCTGGGGGGGGGGAGTCTCACCTGAAGGCTGGGTGGGGGAAGGGGTGCGGGGCCAGGTAGCTGGGGTGGTAGTAGGCTGCGGCCGTGGCAGGGTCCAGGCTGAGGGGGGGCAGGGAGGACATGCGCAGGTCCTCGGCGGTGTGGTAGGGCCGGAAGCTTCGTAGGTAGTCCTCGGTCACGGTGTTGGGGGGCACCACATGGTGCACAGGCCGCTGGAGGCTGCAGACAGGGCCGGGGCTGTGTGAGCTGGGCCGTGTCCCCGCCCCAGGCCCAGACTGGACCCTGGTCCCACCCCCAGCCCCACCCCCGGCCCGCCTTTGGCTTGTGAGAAGCAGCAGGAGGTCCACAACACAGGCAGGGAGCAGCTGCCCCCACCTGGAGGGGCTCCTGGCCCCTAGGACCAGAGAATGGGCTTAGGTGGGGTTGGCACAGGCGGGCGGGGCCCGGGGAGGCTGCCAGCATCTGGCGGCTCCGCGGGGTGGTGCAGACCAGGCCGCCTTGGGCACCAGCCCCCACTGGGCACTTACTTGAGAGGTGGGAAGCGGGAGTCCTGCACGACGGAGCTGGGGGACAGGCCGAAGGGGTAGGGGGTGCTGAGCAGGTGGGAGGGGATGGCCGGGCCCCCAGCCTTCTCCTGGGTCAGTGGGGGCTCCACCACCAGGCGCTCCCGGCCGCCGCTGCCTCCCCTCGAGCCGGCATCCTGCTGGGGGACAGGCAAGGGTCAGGCCCACCCCAAGGCCAAAGCTGCCTCCCATGACTGCCGCCTGCCACGGCCTCACAAAGCCCCAACCAAGTGCAGCCTGTGCTCTAGAAATATCCCTCCCATAGCTATACTGCGGCATGGGGGGGGGGGGGCGCTCCTGCCCTGCCCTGCCCTGCAGGGGTCCGCAGCAGGCAGCAAGGCCAGATCCTGCCTCTCCCTCCCAGAGACCAGCTTCCGGCAGCTACTAACCACAGGGAGCCTGGCCGAGGCCAGCCCACGTCTCATAAGGACCAAGGGCCCCTGGTGCTGCCCAAGCTGCCCTAGGAGGCCCCAGGAGCTGCCAAGAGGCGCAGCGGGGCAGGGCCGCTCACGGACAGGCCACACATCTCTGGGTCTGGGCTTGGCGAGGCCAGGAGAGGCAGGAGGGGCAGCCTGCCGGCCCACGAGTCACCTCGGGGTCCTGGCCGAGAAGCCTCACAAGGTGGCACGACCGCAGAGCAACGCCAGACCCCGGGGAGAGCGGAGAGCCCGGGAAGGCTGAGAGGCAGGGACGGGCCGCTCCTGCGAGCAGCCGGGCCCAGGGCCAGAGTGACAAACCCTGGAACGGAGGGGGCCGGCCCGACCCCCCGGTCCTCGAGCAACACCAGCGACTCCTGGGCACAGCCAGAGTGAGCTGGCAGCGCCCCTGGGCTGTCAGCCCCCCGCACGCCTCCCCGCGCACCCCCCAGCAGTCAGCGGTGACTAATTGAAGCAGACAGGCCGCTGATGGGAATTTTTAATGAGTGGCAACATCTGCTCCCTCCCCGCGCTCAGCTGGGCTCTGCTCTCTGCAGGGCCCTTGTAGGTTCACGACCTCCTGCCCGCCTCTCCCAGAAGAGGTGTTCTGGAACATCTCAGGGGCGAGATGTGCGCACGCCCCGCATGCCCCCTCCCCCCAGGCCCTGTGGAACTGGGGGTCTCCAGCTGTCGGTGGGCAGCAGAATGGGCTTTCTCCTTCGCCAGACAGAGCCGGGCCAGTTCTGGAGCCCCATGACTGCTCCGTGACTCCCTGTCCTCCTCCCCTGACCTACTGACTGCAGGGATGGCCCCCGCAAGTGGGAGTGGCCGCACACCGCCCGTCCCCACCCCTGCACGAGGCAAGAGGGCCAGGAGGCCTGGGGCAGGCTACACCGACGCTCAAGCCCTGAGCCCATGGGGAGCCCCCTCCTGCCCCCAGAGGCAGGAGCCAGGGGCTCGGCCACCACCCCACCATCCCCGAGCCCTGCGTGCACGGCCTCCCTGGGAGGAGAGCAGAAGGGTCCAGCGGGGGTGACGTCCTCAGCCAGGGTGTCCCTGCCCCCATCCCTTAGCGGAGACAGAAGCAGGCGACGGTGGCACCTTCCTGGCCTGGCTAGGGACGGACAAGGAAGGAGGGAGGCTGGAGAGCGGGAGGGGCGGGGCGGGGCAAAGGGCTCCAGGAGCCACAGCTTGCTCGGCTTCCTCCAGCTGGAGCAGGGCCAAGCCAGCACCGGGCCCCTGGGAACTAGGTCAGCAGAGCCCAGGTGCCACGCGGGGAGGAGGGGGGGGCCAGCACCCCCAGCCTCAGGCATGGAGCAAGAGGCTGGGTGGCTGGCTGGAGGTGACCCTGACAGCGTGTCCGGCCCGCGGGGGCCTGGCAGGCGGGGCGCCAGGCAGATGGGCACACCAGTTTGTTGTTGCTGAGCAGGCTGCACACAGACGCAGCTGCAGCCATGAAAGGCAGAGAGCGGGAGGGGGAACGGGGGGGGGGGGAGGGGAGGGGGGGAGGGGAGCCGTCATTCTCGGTGATTAGAAGCCTCCACACTCAGACAGGCAGGACATGCCCTGTTAGCTTCAAAATAGACCGTTTCTCATTCCATCTCCTCTGCAGCCCCGCTGCCAGGAGCTGGAGGCCCCCGCGGGGCCCTTGCTGTCCCCACCCGCACCCCGGGCCCGGCTCCCCGCTGAGCCTCAGGAGCCCCCGACTCAGAGCCTCTCCGCCCTCTCCCAGGGGATTAAACTCTGAGCCTGGTGCCCAGCTGAGGCGTGAGCCGCAGTGCTTGCCCACAGCGGCTGCCCGGCCTCCTGGGGAGCGGGCTCTCCTGGCCCCTTCCCTGCGTTTCTAAGCCTGTCAGGTGGCAGGGACCCCCAGGGGGACGGGGACAGGTGCCAAAGCGCGTCACAGGCAGGACAAGACCCCGGGCCGAGCGGGCAATCCCTGAGCACCGGGCACGGGGCAGCTGACACCGGGGCCCCGAGGCCAGGCCGGCCCCTGGTAAGAGCGATCTCCCCCACCCCCAGCCCCCAGGAGCACCAAGGGGACACAGCCCTCAGACCAGCCCGTCCTCTGCCCTGTGCCCTGGAAGCCTGAAGCCAAGACAGACATCGGAGGATGGACAGACACAAGGCCCCTCGGCCCTCAGCTGTGGAAGACAAGGGAGCGGAAGCCGAGCCGGGCCCTGCCCAAAGCACCCGGGGCCAGGGACCCTTGCGGGGGCTGCCCTCCTCCGTCTCTGCCCTGGACAGCCGGCCTCCCCCGGGAGGGGAGCCCAGGAGGGGAGCAGGGAGCGTGGCAGGGCCTTGGGAGAGCTGCCCCCCCAACGCTGTGGTTTAATTAGTGGTTCCGAGTGGCGCTGTCCCTCTGGGAACCTGCAGCTGGCGGTGGGCCCTAATTAGAAAAGCCCTGCAGGCCTTGAGCAGCAGGTGTGGGGTCCTGACCCTGGGCAGGTGCAGGGGGCAGAGCACGGGGTGGGGGGGCTCACCTGGCGGCCCTCACTCCGCCACACGCCATTGACGGTCTTGGTGGGGGCGATGGTCACCACGGGGGGCGTGCTGGGGACGCTGTGGCCCCCAGGAGGGACGATGATGGGGCCCATGGGCACGCGCTTGGGGGTGCTGGCCGGGGAGCTGTGGTTGGTGGCTGGAGAGGACACGGGGGAGGACTCGCTGCTCAGTGAAGACCCTGCGGGAGAAGAACACAGCAGCCTGGCTCAGCGGGAGCCATCATGCTCGCTCGCGGCCACAGAGAACACAGCCACGTCCCGAGCCCCACGCGGCCCCCTGCACGCTCAGGGCCGGGCCACCTGGGGTCACTGGGGGCTCCGGCTGCCCTGCCCCTTGCCCTATGGGCCCAGCAAAGGGAGCACCAGGTGCCCCGGCGTGCGTGCCCAGCAGACAGCCCACACCCGGGGCGCACAGAATGTCCCGGTGTCTCAGGAAGAGAATCCCTGCCAGGAAGCTCCAGGACGGCCAGAAAGGGACCTTCGCAGACTCTGTCTCAGGAGACGAGACGAGGGGTGGGCAGGGACGAGGGGAGGGGCGTGACACACACCCCAGGACGCAGCTCGGCTGTGGTGTGCCCACTGCATGTGTGGCCATCCCCCGACTGTGCTTCTGGAACATTCCCGTCCCTGCCCGCCCCCCTCACCCTTGGCAGAGGTCCAGGGGTACGCGGATATCAAGACAGGGCCTTGATCCTGACGAGGTCCGCCCCGCACCGTCCTGTACCTCTGCACCAGGGCTGCCCCAACCTCTTCCCCAGAACCTCCTGAACCGAGTGTGGCACGGACAATGCCCCGGCAGCCGCCACGCGGTCCTCCCTGATCTGCCCCTCCCCCCGCCAGGCAGTCCTCCCTGATCTGCCCCTCCCCCCGCCAGGCCCTGCGACTGCTGAGCAGCCAAGGCCAGGCCCGGAGCCTTCATGCTCCCTCCACAGAGCCTGGTCTGGCGGGGAGGGGAGGCCAAGGGCGGCTGTTTGGGATACACAGCCACACGGCCCAGTGGGGCCAGCAAAGCACTGTCCACACCCCAGGGACTGTGAAGCCCATGTGGACAGGGGCCCGGCCTGCTGTCCAAGCAGAGGCCCGGCCGGAGGAGTTGCAGCAAGGAGACAGCAGGCCGGGACTGACCGCAGGCTGGGGCTGGCCCCCAGCCACTCGGACAAGCCTGGCAAGAGAACTCGAGGACCTTGCGCCAGGAAACCTTGGCCCCTGAGCCTCTCGAGCGCCGGGCCCACGCCTGTGCGTAGCTGAGGAGAGCCCCGGCCTCCCCAGGGGGCAGCCATGCTGGCCCCGCGCCCGCCGCCCAGACACACAGCACCTGCGAGCAACGACACCCTGTCCAGAGACGGAGGAGCCCAGCCCACCTCAGCCAGCACTGAGCCCAAAGCCCCAGCCTGGGCCGGCTCCACGGCTGAGAGCCATGGCAGCTGCGCGGTGTCCGGGGCACCCAGGGGTGGGGTACAGTGGTGTCCCTGCCTCCGCAGGGGCTGCTGGGGCAGCTGGGCCCCGGCCTCCCACAGGGGTTGGGGCTGACAGAGCCACACACACCCCGGCCCTCACATGAGGCTGAGAGGCCCCGGGGTCCCCAGCACCAGCCCTGCTCGGAGGCCAGCTCCTGTCCACTGATCTGAGCAGGTGGGCGGAGGGGGAGACCGCGCACGAGTTGGGGTCTCGTCTGGGGCAGGCGGAGGGAGGCCATCAGCAATTAGCGGCCTCATCTCCTGGAGGCGGCGAGGCCATCGATTCTTCCCAACGCACTGCCAATTAGCGAGGCTGGCACTGGCTCTCGGCACGGCTGCCGCAGGGAGGTCGGTGACTGCTGTAATTAACTGGCGGTATTCTGCCAGAGTCCGTGACACGGGACTGCAGATGACAAGAGGCGGAGGGCGTGCATGTGACCTCCGCTGTCCAACCTCGCAGATGCGCCCTGAGCCCCCAAGTCAACTCGAGACAACAGGCCAACAGCCGCCGAGCACCAACCGCGAGCCCTCGGGAAGGAGGCCGCGATGCACGGGGCCGCGAGCAGGCCGCAGACCTCACAGTCCCTACCACGGGGTCTTCAGGAGGCCCTGGCCGTGGCATCAGAGCATGGGGGGCCGAGCCAACCCGCCCCTTGCTGTAGACGGAGACACAGGGAGGGCCAGCAACAGGCGGTGGGCGGCAGAGCCGGGGCGCCGGGCCACAGCGGGCGCGGGCGCAGCTCTCGGGTCAGCATCGGCTCAGCCACCAGAGCTGAGGAGCCGCCCTATGCTGCTGCGAGACAGAGCCCAGCTCAGAGGGGGAGCTGGGGTCCTGCGCCCCAGCATCTATTGTGAAGACCAAGCCCACGGGGGAAGGGGCCGGGGCGTTTGGGGACAGATTTTCTATGGCTGGTTATCTGCCAATGTTGCTAGGCAGAATGGCAGCCCTTAGAGCAGAACGGGGCTGGGAGAAGCTGGCCAGGGAGAGCCGGGGAGAGGTCCCAGGGGAGGTCCCGTAGCAGGGCCCAGGCCCAGGACGGTGGGGTCAGGAATGGGGAGGAAGGACCGATGGCCCCGCCAGAGGCTGGGGAGGGGCGGCCGGCACTCATGTCCACGGGTGCCACGAAGGCCACGCCAGGCCGCGCCAGCCGCCTCCTGCCATGCGAAGCCTAGGCCAGCACTCTGCACGGGGCAGAGCTGGGTGAGCTGGCCTGCTGGCCTCCAGCTGCGGCCTCCCAGGCCCACCTGGCTCCCAAGACTCCAGACTGACGAGACAGAGGAGAGCCACCGTGCCCACACCTGTGCCGCCAGACAGATGGGGCTCCAGACGCCCGCAGACGCCCCCGCGCCCAACGCACTGCCGAAGGGAGGCGGCCGCGTCAGAAAGCCCAGCTCACTTGGCTGTTTGCTTTGCATGAGGCGGATTTCCGAGGCCTGGCCCATTCTACAGCCGACAGACCAGCTTCCCTGGCCAGTGATGCCCAGGGTCAGGATCTCGCTTCCAGATGCACCAGAGACCCCTCAGCAAGCAACCGGACTGACCACGTCCACCACGTCACCATGATCCCTCGGCAGGCAACGGGGCAGGGACGGCCCTGGGTGGGCGTGAGGGGCCGCGTCCGCGTCCACATCATCTCCGTGCCATCTGTGCTGTGACCAGATGCCGCAGGAGGCTGAGGTCACCCCGGCTCGGGCACGGCGGCCCTGGGGAGACGGCAGACAGCCGCACGGCTCGGCCCTGCAGTTCACACAGGGTGGGGGTGTGGAGGGGCGAGGGCAGGGCTTCCAGGTCTGGCTCTCCTCTGGGAGCCGGGGAAGTGGGGAAGGCGGGGAGGAGGGGAGAAGGCGGGGTGCTCCCAGAGCCCTCGGGCTCTCAACTAGTCACTCAACAAGCACACCGCAAGGCAGGCCAGGCCCAGAGCCCAGCTGCAGTGCAGGGGTGGACGCAGGGCAGGACCTGGGGGCTCCCAGGCCGGGCTGCAGGGGTGGGGTGGGGTGCAGGCCATGAGGGCACCATGCACACGGCCGAGGGAACCCAGCCGCCTGGCCTATGTGGGCCAAGTCCTGGGTGGCAGCCCTCGGCTCAATCCTTGGGAGGGGTCTGGGGGGAGTCAGGGTCCTCTCTCTTCTACCTCTGCCTTTCTCGCAGGGCAGGGTAGGGCAGGTGCCTCTGTCTGAACTGAACTTTCATGTGCACCCTCGGCAGCCAATGAGGATGACCGGGAAGGGAGGGCACACAGCCCCGCCGGCTCTGCAAGCCGCCCCCCCCCCAATAGCTGAGCATGCTGGGACTGCCACCGAGTCACAGCACCAACGCTGGTGCCTGGCAGGCCGCTGGCAAGGCGGGGCAGGGCAGGGGCACGGGGTGGGGCTGTGGTTTCTCCGTGTCAGGTTCAGCAATGCCCCCGCTGCTTAGGACCCGGCGTGGGCAAGGGGGGGCTCGGTGTGCCCAGGCTAGGGGACCAGCCACAGTGAGACCTGGCACGGCCGGACACACAGCCGTGGCTTGGCCGACCGCCACGTGTGCTGGGATGGAGTGCGGACCCGTCACAGGCCCGCTGCCCGCGGCAGGCCAGCACCCCAGGGCCTCCCGTCTGGTCACCCACAGAGCAGGAAAGGCCGGGCTCCGACCACGACATGCCTGGCTGCTGCCGGCCGAGGGTCAGCGGAGGACAGTGTCCCGGCATTGCAGAGCAGAGACGGCTGCATGCTCCGTGCTGGAAACACGGGGCTGCAGGCACTTTACAGGGTGACTTTTACGGCAGGTGAATTACAGCTGAAGTTTAGAAAGCCCAGCCCTCCGCACAGGTCAACCACACAGGTTCACCGTGCAGTTCACTGATCGGTGGTCCCATCACGGGCCACGGCCCAGGAGGCAGAGGCAGTGCTCGGGCCGTTAACCCACGTGGATGCCGCACGGGTGGGGTGGTGCCCTCCAGCCGGAACGTGTGTGGAGAGTGCTTGTGGAGGCTCACCACACCCACCCGCGGCCTCCTGAGCAAGGGGCGGCCAGGGGCCTCTGCACGTCCCCCCCCCCCACCAACCCAGGGCCTCCGTGATCCTGAGCCTCAGCTTCCCCTCCCGGGCCCATCTCAGGGCTGTTGGGGCAATCCTACAGGTGGGGGATGGCGAGGTCTGGGTTGGGGCTCCCAGGAGATCTGGAGCTGGGGTGGCTGTGACGGAGGCTGCTGGGTGGGGACCGGCCGGGCCGGGCGTGCCGGCCCCCAGCAGCGCCAGAGGCCTCAAGCTTTCCTCCACACAGGGGAGGGAGCCCCAGACACCTGCCCAGCCAAGCTGGAGCCTCAGACAGCAGCACCGCTCCTGTCCTCCTGTCCCCGCTCTGCTACAAAGTCCCTGGGCACCGGCGCCTCAAAGCTGTGGCTCGGAGGCAGCCCCGTGCCCACCGTGCCTGTCCTCTGCTGTCAGGACCTACGGGCACATTTAGCTCCCAGACACAGAGGCCTAGTCGTGGAAGAGAAGCCTCTGGTGCGTGGGCCACCCACATGCCGATCATTCGGGCCAGAAGGCGGGGAGGGGTGGGGTGGGGGTGGGGAGCCTAGACTGTGCGTCAGACGGGGGAATCCAGCCGCAGGCCGCCGTGGACCCTGGCCGCCTCCTCAGCAGAAGGCAGAGCGGCCCACGCCCAGAGCCGGCAGCCACCTCAGGGCCGCCAGGGCCCAGGCCAGGCCTCGGGGAGCAGGAGCCCAGGGCACCCCGCGTGCACCTGGTGGCCCCCCACCCAGGGCTCACCAAGGCCTGTGAGCCACGACACAGGGAGGGGCACGCAGTGAGGACCCCCTCCCCAACCCTGGACAGGGAGAGATGGAGACCAGAAGAGCTTGGCCGTTCCACTGAAGCCCAAGCACCTGTGCGTGGGGCGGTGCCTGTGGGCTCCCCACGCCCTGGAGTCCAGGACTCTCAGCTTGAAGCTTTAGGACGAGGCAGATGGCAAGCATGGGCACCCAGGATCCCCTAGCTCCGAACCCCAGAGCACGAAAAGAATGCAGGGGAGGCGTGGCCAGAACCCAAAGGCCCGAGTCTCCCGGTGCGTCTGCGCCATCAGCGGCCCTGGAACAGCTGCCACGGGCGATGCAGCCCGCGGATTCCGAGAGGACCCCTAAAGCTAGAGCCAGGGACCCGGACAGCACGCCACAAATAATCACACACGAGACAGGATGCGCACCCCAAATCACACAGGACAGGACAAGCACCCCAAATCACACAGGACAGGATGCACACCCCAAATCACACAGGACAGGGCAAGCACCCCAAATCACACAGGACAGGGTAAGCACCCCAAATCACACAGGACAGGACAAGCACCCCCAAATCACGGACAGCACTAGCACCCCGAGTCACCCACAGAGGCAGGACCAGTACCCCAAATCACAGACACGATCAGCACCCCCAAGGTCACCCACAGAGGCAGGACCTGCACCCCCAGAATTGGCTCCAGCTCCTGTGGCCCACAGCGCACGCACGCACGCACACACGCAGGCACGCGGCAGCGCTGAGGCAGGGCTCAGGGCGGGAAGCACAGAGTGAAGCAGAGGTGCAGCGAGGTGAACAGCGGGGGACGTGGGCTCGCGCCGGCGGGAGGTGCTGGGAGCGTGTCCACGCGAGAAGGTGCCGTGGATCACGCGGCCGGGGCCTCTCCCATCACCACACCGGCTGGGTGTGGGCCAGGCCGGAGGGGGCGCCGCGGGGCCAGCAGCGCCTCTTACCTCTGGGCTCCTCCGCCTGTTTGGCGAGCTTGCGCAGAGCAGCAGCGAAGCTGGAAGACGGCGGGGCCTGGGCCGACAGCGCGCTGCTGGTGGCCGGGCTGCCGCTGGGCACCAGGGCGCCATTGAGCGGAGAGGGAGTGAGGGGGCTGACGGTGGCGGTGGTCCTGGTCGCGGTGGACAGCATCCCTAGAGAAGGGGACTTGGGCTCATGGCTCATGCCTGAAACAGGAAGAAAAGAAGCAGGTCACCCAGAGCAGAGCGGCCGGGCCGCGGGCGGCACGCAGGGCGGGGGGGAGCAGACAGAGCCGAGCAGAGCGGCCGGGCCGCGGGCAGCGCGCAGGGCGGGGAGGAGCAGACAGACCCGCACCGAGGCGCCTCGGACCCGCACGCAGGGCGGGGAGGAGCAGACAGACCCGCACCGAGGCGCCTCGGACCCGCACGCAGGGCGGGGAGGAGCAGACAGAGCCGCACCGAGGTGCCTCGGACCCGCACGCAGGGCGGGCAGGAGCAGACAGAGCCGCACCGAGGCGCCTCGGACCCGGAACTCCATACCCAAAGGCGCGGGCCTGCGCCTACTGGCCGGGCAGGTACAGAGGGCCCCACGCCCAAGGGTGCTGGCGGAGACCCAACGGAGTCCACGTTCAGAGCACAGGAAGACGCGGGGTAAACTGCCTTGGGGTGAGGAGGAGGCGCACAGAGGGGCTGGCGAGTTTCGCACGGCCCACGCCAGGAGGCCGGCACCCTGCTGCCCCATTACCAAAAAGGAAACTGAGGTCCACAGAGCCATCAGTGCTGACCAGGAGGCCCCCGGGCCAGCTGAGGGTCCACCACTGCCCCACCATGCTCTCCTGAACCCCCAAAGCCTGCAGCCCACTCGGCACGGAGCCCTCAGTGCCCATGCCGGGACCCGGATGGGTGCCCTGCCTCACCAGACTGAAGACCCAGGCTGGCTGTCCCTGCCCATCACCCTGGAGGACCCCTCCCGGCCCAGGGGCCCAGAGGCCGACGCAGCTTGCTGTGCGGGTGGCTGCGCTCAGGGCGCTTGACTGTGTGGGGCCGGCTGCCTGGGACGCGTTCCCAAGCAGAGGCCGGACCACCGCGCAAATAACCTTCCGCCTTGACCAGCAGTCTCTGCGCTGTCCCTCCTTCCTTCTGACGCCAGCTAGGCCCCAGCCACCCTGCCCGGGGCCCTCAGAGCCAGCACCCCTCCACGGGCAGGCTGGGGCCTGGGCGGGATGCAGACACTCCACACCAGAGCCAGCTCCGACAACTGCAGCCCACACCACGCAGTGCCACAACACAGGGCTACAAGGGGGGATGTGGGGCGCGTCCCAGCCCGAGGACCAGGGAGCAGAGGCCACGACCCCCAGCAGGCCGAGATGCTCCAGCTGACAGAGGACCTAGGAGCGACTTGTCCTTCTTACCTCTGCCCCTCCTGATCCAAGAGCAGGACCCAGGTTTGGGAAGGGGAGTGGGGGTGAGCGGCCAGCACGGAGCTGGGCTCCATGTCCGGGGAGGGCACCTCCCGCGGCTCACAGCCCCCCCCCCACCCGCAGCAAGGCTACCAGCAGCTCTGGCCCTGGGGCCCCAGAGCCAGCACCCCGCCAGGGTCGGTGTGCTCAAGGACCTGGCAAGCCGCTCTGCTGATGTCAGGACACCCAAAATAGAATTCCAAGCGAGCGACTTCATTAGGGGAATCTAAAATTAGCACGGCTCCTCCAATGGGCCAGGCGGGCAGGGGCAGGACAGCCCGGGACGGGAGGGGGGACTGTCACCCCGGCCCGTGGTGCGCGGGCAGGGCCTCGCCCCCCTGCATCAGGGCCGCGCCTGCAGTCCCCCGAGAAGACAGGAGGGAGACATCCTCTAGTCAGGTGCTGCCCGGAGAGGCTGTCACAGCTGGCCCGGGCGGGAGGGGACAGAGACCCTGGGAGGCCAGGGCAGCAGCGCCCAGCCCTCATTAGAGAGGTATTTATTAACTTCGGAGGCCAGTGTGCACGCTCAGCTCTGTGAATTCATTATCCTAACAGCCTGGGAGAGGCAGAGCAGCAGGAAGGCCCGTGATGGATGAGGCCAGGGGCTGGAGGCTCCCTGCACAGCTCAGCCCCTGCTGGGGTTCAGCAGAAAACAAGCGTGGGGGGAGGGCTGGCCCTCTTCCACCACCTCACACCAAAGGACCAGGATCCCCCCCCCACCCCCCCACCCCCGCTGCTTCCAAGCCCAGAGAGAAACCCTGTGGACAAAATGGCCCAGTGCCCACTTCACACACAGCCACGTCACGACCTTCCGGGTGAGTGGGGCCTTCCTGCCAGCCCCCAGTGCAAAGCCTCCAGCAACCCCCCCACCCTTCCCCAAACCCTGGTTTCTGATCCAGTCAAGGAGGCACAATGCTGGTAAGAAAAACCAACCAACCAGAAGAAGCCCGCACAGCTGGGATCTGGCCAGGGAAACACAGCCCTGACCCGCTCCCCCTCCCTCTCCGGCTCCCCCTCCCTCTCCCCGGCAGGGTGAGTGGCTCCTCTCCCCTCCTCCACAATGAAGCAGGGCCGCAGCCACCAGCATTAACCGGCCCCGCCTCCCCCTGCCATCCCGTAATTACCGCTCCCTTTCACGCACCAGGCCTCGGGCCGCTCCCTCCCCGCGCTGTAATTACAAGCTAATAGCAGAGATCAATTTTCTGCTAGGTCCCAGTTCAAGCACCAACCTGCCCCTCCCCCGCAGCCGCCCCCCCCCGCACAGCCCCCCCCCCCAAACCAGGACCCAGATTCTCCCATCAACCCCCCTCCCCAATTATTTTTCATCACCGTAGAAAGACGTGTTTACACACAAGTCAAGGCTGCTCCCTGCTCAGCCTCGGTGTGGCCCCCTCCTCCAGCCCTAAAGCCCCAAGGGGCGATGTTTTCTGCCACTGACGAGGCTGGGGTCACCCTGCTGCAGGACGTGGCGGCAGCACAGGGCCACCACAGCAAATTCATCATCATGTTTGCCGCACAGCAGATTTTTTTTTTGGGGGGGGGGAGGGCTCCTGACGCCGGGTCTCAGAGAGATGGGAAGCCTGAGCGGAGCCCCAGCGCCTCCCGGCCCCCCGGGACTCCCAAGCGAATGCCCCAGGGAACCAGCAGGCCGAGCCGTTGGCCTGGCAGCAAGCTCGGGCCCCTGGGCTCCTGACCCCGAGCCAGAAGAGAGCAAGCAGCAGCAGGTGGCTGGGCAGCCGCTGCTGGAAACCGTGGGGGCGGGGCAGGACAGGAAGCAACGCCTCCCCGATAAGGAACCCAGCCGTGGGGCTGCCACCCCCCCCCATGATGGCGGGGCACCTTCAGGGCCACACCACGCCGGTGTGCTGCCCCAGGCTGACGGCCCTCCACGGAGGCACCCAGGCCAGGAGAGGGAGCCCCAGAGGCTGGCGGGTAGAGGTGAGGGACAGAAGTCAGGCAACAGATGGCAGCAACATTTGACGCAATTACTCTAAGTGTCTGCCGTGCAAGGCGGGGGGTGGGGGGCTGTGGGGGCTGTGGGGATGGGGAGAGGGAGCGCCCCACAGCCAGAGGCAAGACAGGAACGCCGAGGCCAGGTCAAGGCTGGCGGCAAGGGTCCAGGGCTGTGACAGGGGGGCTGAGGGGGCGCACGTCAGCGGAAGGTCAGCGGGAAGCAGCACGCGGCTGACCCACGCCGCCAGGCCCCCCTGCGTGTTCCCCACGGCAGACCCCCTAAGTCATCCACATCAAAAGGAGCCAGGCTGGGCAGGGGCCTTGCTGTCCCCTGCTCTGTGGTCACCTACAACTGTCCCCCGGGACGGAGCTGCCGGTCTCGGGGTGCCTGGAGGAGGCTGCGGCAGGACACAGAAGGTGGCGTGGGAGGCTGCGCGGAGGGGCAGGAGCCTTGAAGAGGGTGTGGCTCCCATCGGGGCCGGCCCGGCCCTCTAGTGGGGGTGCAGGGCACAGCACCGCTGCTGAGCAGCAGTGGAAATCAGGGCTCGACAGCAGCCGGCTTGAGGCCGCTGCAGCCGCCAGGAGGGGGCAGAGGCCAGCGGGGCGGGCCCAGGAGGACAAGAGCCGGCACTGCCCGCGGGGAGGGGTCCCCAGCGGGCGGCCGCTGGAGACAGCATGCCAACCAGGCCACCTGCCGGCCTCGCCCAGGCACAAAGGGGCCTTTCAGTGGGTGCTGCTGGCCTCCTGCAGACGTCCCCGGGGGATGGACACCAGCCTCCAAATTTCCATGGGATGGAGGCCAGAGGCCACCAGGGTCGGGGCCCGGCCCTCTCATCCGACCAGAGGAAGACCAAAGGACACTGCTTAAGTCTCAGTGCCCAGGCCGCATCCACACGTCTCCGCCTGTGGAGCTCCAGGGAGCTACTGGAGAAGCAGGGCAGCAACCAAGACCACAAGGCTCGAGAGCGGTGGCAGGACAGGAGGGGCCGGTCTCTTCAGAGCATCGGGGGCTGGGGGCCAGGTCCGGACAGGCCTTCCCTCTCTTGGAGAGGCTGTGGCCCCAGCTGAGCCGGGAACCTGGTGATCTGGGGCGGCGTGAGGTGCTGGGTAGGTGGCTGGGTAGGGTCCCGTGTGACCATGTGACCTCCACACAGCACCTGCCTGAGTATTGGGGGTGTTTTTTTGGTCGTTTGGTTGTTTTTTGGCTTGAACTCTGGGCTTGGGCGCTGTCCCTGTGTTCTTCAGATCAAGGCAAGCGCTCTACCATTTGAGCCACAGCACCACTTCCAGTTTTCTAGTGATTTATTGGAGATAGTCTCACGGTCTCTCCTGCCCGGGCTGGCTTTGAACCGCGATCCTCAGATCTCAGCCTCCTGAGTAGCTAGGATGACAGGCGTGAGCCTCCGGCGCCTGGCTTGGCTCTCCAGTTTTATGACAGGGCAGAGAAAAGTTGGCTGAAGGCCAAGCCGGGCTCCGTGGGCGGCTGGCACGGAGACCTGTGGATGCCTGGCCCGAGAAGCAAATCTGCAGGCAGCGTTTTAAAACTGGGTTTTCAAGTCACAACATCCATGTTCAATTTCTCCTAAAGTTTCAGAAGCCACAAAACCACCAACCAATCCTGCCAGCACCTTGGCTGGCCCCTGTCCCCAGGCAGCTTCGGGGTCTTTACCACCACAGTCCCAGCCCTGATGCGGGGGGGGGGGGGGGGGGGGGGCAGGCTAAACTCCTTGCTCAACTAGCAAGAGGTGGATGTGGGAGGAAGGCCAGGAGGGCGTCCACACGCTGGCCTCAAGG